ATATATAAAACGATATAATTCGATTTTTTGTTTGGAAATTATGCGACACGATTTTTGCACATATTTTGTTCTCTTTATTTGTAATTTTTTTCTTCTATTTATTTCAATCGTTAGTATTACTTTTTTTCGATTTCTAATCATTCAACATAAAATTCGTATCGTAAGATAATCTAAATGATAACATAAGACACAGACAATTCTTTTTGTCAATATCAATTTTTGATTATTCATCGATTAACGAACAATCTGATTTAAAATAATGGCTAATATTCATTAATCAAAATGAAATGACTAATTGGTGAATTTATCACCATTCATCAAATGTAATTTTTTACTTTTGTCTTTTTGCCTATCATGAATCAATAATTAGGTAAAGTAAAAAAATCTAGACCTGAGTTTAATTCTATTAGTTCCAAAGTATAAAATTAACGGTACTTTTTTTTTATATAGGAAATAAACTCCGTTACCGTTAAAATTTAAAAGACCTCAGGTATAGTAAAAAACTAATTTATTTTTTAAGTTTACACATGCATCGATTATCTCCATAATAACTTTAAGCACTAAAATGTTTTTTCTTTTTCCTGTTTTTACTCATTAGCCAATTTGCACGGTATACTTTTCTAGAAATAATTTAATTTACAATTTTTTTCGATTAATGAAACAGATTATTTTACGATTTACTTTTTAATTTACTTATTGTTTCTTATTAAATTTGCAATCATGGCGTTTAAGTTTGACGAATTAAAAATGTCTCCGTTCCGGAGTCCTCTGGCGGTAAAATTTTAAAATTTGTTTTCGAGATTGATTCTTACATTTTTGTAAACGAAAAATAAAACGAAATATATTAATTAAATGGTCAAGATAAAAATCGAACGAAACTAGTGTAATTATCACATAATTAAAAATAATTAATATTTACATATAATTATTATATGTAAATATATACATCTCGTATTATATATAATAAATAAAAAAAAAAGAAAAATTAATGATGAATGAAGGACACATATTAAAAAAAATTAATTATGATTATCTTGTCAACGTTATGGTGCTGTTTTATCGCAATAAGTTTCTCAAGAAATACATAATGTTGTTGACCAGTAGCCATTTCTTTCTTCGAGCCTTCGACCGGTTTTTCTTTCCACATTTTTAACGTAGATTAACAGACCCCCTAAGCCTCTATCTACTTGCTACATTAAAGTTAGCAAATTACGGAAATGATAATAAAAAGAAAAAAAGAAAAAGAAAGAAAGAAATCACAAAATGCAATTCCATAAACGTCCAATTCTCCACCAAACCCTTCTTCTGTCGTGTATTTTAAATGTTCTGATCTAAAAGATGATCGATCATTGGTGTGTTTTCTCTTCTCTTAATAAATTCGCAGAAATATTAATCAAATGTAGAAGAACTGACACGAATATCAAGAGTAGAGTCTCATAAAAGAGTAGAAGTAATCATTGGTTTTTCGTTTGATTATCCAAACCAATGAGAAACACCGTTATTCTCTTTCTTTACTTACCTCTCCTGATATTTCTTTTTGCCACGTGAAACGCGGAAATTTCTTATGTGCTAATTTTTGATAGATGTGTATATATATATATACACATAGTGTATAAGTGTAACTTTCTACAAAGTATATACATATCTTTCTATGTTTAATTTTGTATTTTTTTTATTAATGTCGTATTTTTTATTTACTTCCTCCCAGGTGTACGTGTACGTCAGTCAACATAGTTTTAAACGCCACGTCAGGTATCGGTGGTTGACAATATATCTATACGTTTATGTTACTACGTTGGTCATCGTCGTTTCGTAATGTACAAATTAACTAAATTATATTTTTGTAGTTACAATTTTTAATATTTAATATAATACAATTTTATATATATTAAAAATAATTAGGAAATTATAAAAGGATTATATTATCATATATATATATTAAATATTAAATATTAAATATTTAATTGTAACATTTCTATCCATGTTTGTTTTATTTATTATTTGTTTTTCTTTATTTCCTTCAGTTATGCAACACGATTAAATTTAACCAACGATACCTGAGCTTTTCCTCTCTCTTTCTCTAACTTTATAGGGATGCGGTTTAAAAAACAAGTTAACGTGAGATTTAAAAAAAAAAAGTAAAAGCAATTTATAAATATACATTATAACATTATGTTTATAGAAATCAAGATGTTTGTTGTCATTGATCCTTCTTACAGAATAGATATTTTTAATACAATCTCTTTTTCTTTTTCTTTTCCTTTTTTTTTTAACATCCAAGTCTGTTTATGCCACTCTCATGGTCTTATACGCATTGGCACCGAAACAAGAGGAGAAAAAGGAAAAAAAAGAAGAAGAAGAGAATACTACCAGCAAATATATATTTTACATTTAACGTTTCAAGTTTCTATTTAGTTTTTAACTACTCTTTTACTAGTAGTTCGATAAAATGATTTAATCAGAGTCATTAATTTACTAGTATTTTCTATCAAAGCTTCTCTAGTAAATTTATTTAGTATATCAAGGTTATAATTTTTTCGTATATAATATTTCATGAGGTTATCTCGAGACGAGCAATGATATAGCTATTTTTTTTTATATTTTTAACGATTACATTGTACGTTCAGTAATTTATACAAAAAATTTTGTTTAACAGTAATTATCTTTTAAATATTATTTTCAATAGTATACTTAAAATAACAATTATTTGTTTCTGTTGATTATTTTAACTGTTTGTCAATATTTTCGCATTGATAGATAGTCGTATGACGATGGATATTCTATGTCAGGGTTTTTTTCTCTTCTTTTTTCTTTTATTTTTAAAGTATCGTACGTAATCCTCATATATAGATTCGTTAAGTTAGCATTAAAAGTTGCATAATTAAATGCGAGGGTCGTTTAAATTTAAAATACAGTATGTTCAGCAAATAATTATTTATCCGAATAAATGTTGTGTATATATATATGTATATATATATATATGATTTACTAGTATTTGTATTTTACAAATTTATCACTTTTTATCTCCATTTCATAGTCGCAAAAATATTTGCTTACCCCCACCCGCAGAAGAGGTTGGGTAAAAAACTGAGTCAACCAGGGAGTAAAGTTCGAGGAATCCCGTGTTTTACACGAATGAATATTTTACTATTTTGTTATAGAATTATTATTATTATTATTTTTTTATTTATTATTTATTATCTGTTAATATTCTCCTTTAGTGGGAGGGGGGATGATGTTGAATACTTTTTTAAATTTAAATTAAATATTAGAAAGTGTTCAAAGTCAAAGATAACATTATAAATTCGTCATTTAAATTGGTTATCAATAAAACTAATCGAGAAACAATGTCAAGAAATAAAGAGAGAAAAAAATAGATGAAAATAATCGGGCTTCATACAAAGCGACACGGATTCGCGTTTTTGTTCTAACACTCGACACGCCATTATTATTATCCTCTATGTTAATTTTAAATTATGCTACTACTACTACTACTACTACTATTACTACTACTACTGTTGTGTGAGACGAGACGAAACGAAACTCGAATGAGACCCGTTTAGTTTCTTTATCGAGAAGAACACACATACGCTAAATACTTTTCTTCGCATCTTAATTTATATTTGCACATGTAATATTGGATGTTTTTTTATGTTACGTATGTGTATGGGTGTATAGTTTATGTGTACATAATTTCTGTATATTTTGAAAGTTACCTGTTGTATTATTTCTGCACATATTTTGAATAAAAATGTTTATTCGTATTAGGGAATTAAATGTATTTTAATGTGAGATCAGAAAAATGCGAGCTTTGAAATAAAAATATATTTCGTGTAATAATTGCGTATTCACTTATGTTAGGTAAATAATATCAACTATCGTGCATAAAAGTAGCCTTTGGCACGACACGATGAAAAGATGATTTGAATTTCGGCGTACATTTAATCGGGGCAACGTTCGCGATGAAAATAAGTATACTTTATTTCAGCTGAAGTATCTAAAAGTGGTTTAACATAAATTCTACGCGTTTAAGATATATATAACGGAATAAGTAAATATAATAAAATAATTATCTGCTATATCTGTGTCATAGTTAAGTTTTTTTTATATTTATTTATTTACTTATTTCTTCTTAAAGCTGGCTCTTCTGTAAGCATTACAAATAAACCGTTTAAATCTTTTTATAGGTGTTACGTTTCAAATTGAAAAATCTAATGGCTATTACAAAATTTTAATTGACTTTAGATAAATAATTAATATTTATAAGAGAATTTATTTTTGTCTATAGAAAAAAGTGCGATTAATTTTTTTTTTTTCAATTTATCAATGCCTCTTTAAGAACGATCCTTTTCACGTGTTCCAACTTAATTTTGTTGGTAATAATTCCTATTAGAATTTAATTATTATATTGTCACGTGCGTACTTGACCTACATATTTACTACTTACAAACAGCTTAATATTTTATAGACTATATCAGATGAGTCACGCGAACTTTTACTACTAGAAACTAGAAGAAAAGTTTTGAAGAATATAACATTTAGGAGCTTCTTCTTTTTTTTTTCTTTTTTTTTTTAACTTCTGTTAGCGATAGCTTTGATCTGAATCGTACATCTCAACAATTGTTTTGTACATTCTAATTTTTTTTTTGTGTTGCAAGAACATACTTTTGACATAAAAAAAAAAAAATTAAAAAGATTGATAACTCCAGTCAATTTTGCAGAAAGAAAAAAAGAAAGTACACTTGTTGTATTCTCGTGATTTCATTTCACTCATTGTTGTCAATCTAAACGGATTTTTATCTTATCATTGAAGCTTTATCAAAAATTCTCCGTAATATTGCTTAATTTTTAATAACAATTTGATCAATTAAAATAATTAACGATTATCATAGATAAAAAATCCTCAAGTTTTTATGCTCTAAATTCTATCTATCTATAAAACTGTATATATCAAACTGTATTTGTATTATTATTATTATTAAGTAATTATCATAATAAGTAAGTAAAAACAACAATTATTCTAAAGAGTTCGATTAATTTCGTTTGCGTAATCATCTGATTATTATTTACGACATAACTAACCGGTTAATCCTTTACGTATGTAAATATGACGTTTATTTTGAAAGTGGCTTATCTCCATTTTCCAAAAAAATCGAGTTAGCTATATTTTTACATGATTTTTTCATTCTGAAGCACAATTTATTACTAATATATTAAAAATTATCAAAATTTTGTAACACGAAAATTTGTTGATTAATGAAGCGATGAAAAAGTTTATTTTGAAATGCTTAACTCCAATTGTCAATTATTATTTTCCGATTATCCTTAATTACTCATAATGATAGAGATTTTGGCGTGGTAGAAATGTTATTAAACAAAAATTATTTACCGTTTATCCCCCAAAGATTATTATATTATCAGAAAGTGCCGGAAAAGTAATAACTTTATTGTAAATGAGATGAAGCAAGAAGATTTTTGTATGAACAAAATTATTAGAAAAAGCAATTTTTAAAAGGGTACAGAATTCTAACGAAGAATCGATAAATTGGCTAAAAATATGTTTAAATGCGTTTTGTCAGAAATTAACGGTATCAAATTTTCTATAAGACATCGATGAATGAGAATGAAAATTTGAAAATCCTGAATTTATTAACACGTCTGGGTAGACCAAAAAATTTCGACAATATTATATTGACACCACTGTATGAAAATATTAGACAAATTACAGCAGCAAAATTCAAGGACATAATGAACCTACTACGACATATACCACCAGAATATCATGATTTCTTCAAATCCCTTTCACACACGTAAAATATAAATGAGCTTTAAATTGTTTTGTAATTGATGTAGTTAAATAATCGTTTGAATCGCATAAATTATGTTTTTGAAGTGTTTTAAAGATATGTAAAATAAATTGAGTATTGTTTTTTTCAATTTGAAGCATCTTAAATTATGTTGATTGGAGTTAAGTCCCTTCGAAATTTTATAACAAATCAAATTGTTGATTTTGACAGTGTCCTAACTCCATTCGTGGTTAGAAAACGCATATTATTCACTTAATAATTGCCACTATTTTTATTGGAACTATAAATTTAACACTCTTAGATACACTTAAGCAATATGACTGTTAGTATCCTGTACGTACATTTTTAATTGCATTAAAACGCAAACCCTTCAATATCTCGATTCGAACATAAATGGAGTTAGGCCACTTTCAAAATAAACTGCTCATATATGTTTAAGCATCATTGCACACAGGTATTATATATTTTAAATCGATTCACGTATCCTTATCTAATAACTTTTAAATATAAGCAGTTTTTAAAATTACATTTAGATAAAGATAACAAAAATAAGCTTGTAAAATTTCACGTTTACATCGTGTATTGTAACCTTATTTTTGAATATATTACTGGTATATCTTGTACGATATAAATTTATATGATGGATAACGATTAATAGTCATTTTATTTGCATTTTTATTGTTTTGAAATAATTAGATTATAATTAAATTGCATTATTATTTATTTTGAAATAACTAAATTATAACTAGATTGCATTAATATTTGTTTTGAAATATAACTAGATATATGAATTTAAATATATGAATCTATATGAGGACGTATAGATAGAGTATGAAATTAAAATTTAAAGATTATATAGAAAATTACCTTTTTTTATACACATATAGAAGATAAAACATATAAATAATTTCCCCCACTCAACACGAACATTAACACTCTCGTGTTGATTAAACACTAATTCGTTACAATTCATTCATGAATATGACCAAATCACATCAAATCAAATCGAATGAATCGATTATAAAGTAATAGTATGCAATTAAGCGTAATTATAATATAATGCAAGAGCAACGAAATAAAAAAAAACAATGCAATATGTGATAAATAAGATCACGATCCACAAAATGATATAAATAGAATATCATGTGTATGCAGTATATATATGCATTATAACTATTACACAATGTGTTTGATGATGTACATTGTTAAGCAACATTTTTTTTCTCTCGATTCTTTTTATAACATTTTTCTTATTGTTTTTTCTTTTTTCCCTTTTTCTTTATACAGATATTCCTCCTTTTGTTCCTTCTACTATGCATTTCAAGTTACGCACTTATTGCAAGATTTCGTCGAAGGGATCGAGAAGATTATTTCTCAGTTGACGAAGATGAAGCCACCGTTTATAGGATCAGCCTTTTGTTGTGTACAGTCGCCTTGGCAGTTTCTATCGGGGCGACTTTGTTATTACCCGTGTCTATCGCAAGCAACGAGGTTCTCATATTGTATCCCAATAGCTACTACGTTAAGTGGCTCAACAGTTCTCTCATACAAGGTACAATTTTGTTTGATAAATATTTTGTTTTATATATAATTAATTAATATATATAATATAAGTACATATTGAAATATTATCATTTTATTTTGTAGGACTTTGGAATCATGTTTTCCTATTTTCCAATCTATCTCTCTTCGTGTTTCTACCATTCGCATATTTATTCACGGAATCGGAAGGGTTCTATTATAAAAAAGTAAATCTTGATTTAAGGAAAATATATTATTTATTTAATATATATATATATATATAAAATATTGTTGTTGTTTTAATTAATGAAATTTGGCATTGCAGGGTGTTATGGCCAGAGTATACGAAACCGTAACAGTCTTGTGTTTATTGGGAACACTTGTACTTGGCATGGCTTATGTTTTGTCTGCTCTTATCGATTATCAAAAATCTAGTCTCCATACATCCTTAAGTAAGTTCATTTAAAAATGTCGGAATTAAATATAATAGAATAACTAGTAATTTTATTTAAATGTATATAATTACAATTTCAGATATATGGAGTTATTATTTACCCTTCCTCTATTCTTGCGTCTCTTTCGTTGGTGTAATGTTATTGTTAAGTAAGTATTATTAAATAAGTAAAACTATATAATTTTATGAAGGAGGAAAAAATAATATAAATAAAATAATCATATTCGTTTTTCCCCTAGTATGTACCCCGATTGGATTTGTACGACTATTCGGCGTTGTGGGCTCGTTTCTAGTAAAACCTCAGTTCCTAAAAAATCTAGACGAAGAGTTCTTTGCATATAGATTAGAAGAGGATTGCATTAAAAGAAGGTTAATAAGAATTATGTATCTACTTTTATTTTTTTTCCCCATTCTCTTTATGTATCAAATCTTTAATTTTTTCTTTTTTCTCGATGTAGGCTCCAACATGCAAAAGCAACGGGAAAATCGTATGTTTCCCCAGTACCAATGTCTCTACCAAATTGTAATGCAACGGTCGAAGACGACGAACTTCTTAATTTGAGTCCTGGCTTAATGTGCCTGAGAAATGGCGCTCTTCAACGTGGACTGACACAGAGATTAGAAGATGTTCAAAGAAAAAGAAAAATCTTAGATGAACAGAGGCGTACTTGGTGGGTACGAAGAACACTATTTTATCCTTTGGCAATGCTCGCTCTACTTATTCTATCCACTGCCACGGCCTTATTAGCGGTTCAAAATACCTTGGAACTACTTATCGGTATTAAAGCTCTACCATTGAGTACGAGGGTTTGTATCGAGATTTTCTTATATATTTTTTAATTGAAAATTATTTGAAAAGTTATAGTTAACGATAATTTTAAATTGCATAGCAATTCACATTGGGTATTAGTTCATTGTCAAAACTCGGACCCATTGGAGCTATTGTTGAAGTCTCAGTGATACTTTATTTAGCTGCGACAAGTGCGATTGGACTTTATTCGCTTCCAGGAGTTAGACGGGTACAACCACGGCTTTGTTCCACTCCACTCACCCATCTCATCGCCAATTGCGTTCTATTACTTGTACTCAGTTCAGCGTTACCACTGCTCTCCCGAATATTAGGTAAACAATTAATATATGGACTTATCGATTTTGTTCAATACACGTTTGAGACTCTTATACCCCACGTATAGTCCGTCATTTTAAATTCTTCAATTAAATGTTGATAATATAGTCTACGTCATTAAATCAAATATCTTATTATTTCAGGAATGACGAACTTTGATCTGCTGGGTGACTTTGGTCGTATAGAATGGCTTGGCAACTTTAAACTCGTATTATTGTACAATTTAATTTTTGCTACAGCGGCTATCAGTTGTTTAGTTACGAAATTTACGGCAACGGTGAGAAAAGAAATTTATGCAAGATTGAGGAGTAGTTTCGTAGGTATATTTAAAGGAGAAGGAAAGAAGAATTCATCGGCGATGTTTTCTACTAAAGAAGAATAGACTGATATATATATATATCATAAGGAATTAATAACATAAATGTATATTTCTTATTTATTGCTTACCTAGAAGAAGAAGAAGAAGAAGAAGAAGAAGAAGAAGAAGGAGAAAAGCAATGAAATATACCCCTTATGATATAACGATACAGGAAAATTTTCTCTTGATTTGTATAAGAATTGCATAACAAGATCATGCAACTTCAAGAATTTTTAAAAATATTTGCACTCGATCGCAATTAAAATGTTAGATTTTTAACAACGTGTCTTTCACCTAGCACTGTTTATTTATTATTTCGAAATTTCTATATTAGACCAAAAAAGGCAAGAAAGTGAGAAGTTTATTAAAATAAATAAAATAATTTTGATGTTGTCGGAGTATAGTGCTAGCGATTTAATTATATAATTATTATCACAATTGTTATTTATTCGAAGTATAATAATACATCTATCTTACGAGTGTTTTAATGAATAAAAAAAATAAATATATGGAAGATAGTCACGATGACGACGAGCTAATAGTATTGCGTTAAAGATAAAACTTGGAAGTATCGAATTAATGTTTAAATTTTCGTGTATTGCATATGTTACATAATAACGTACTTTAGATTTTTTTTAAATAATTATAATTTTGTTCTTATATCAATTCGGTCGTTGATAGAAATTTTTTCTTTTGTTAGTAGTATGAAATTTTTAAAAAAATTATTTTTTAATTTGTACCTTTTCTCGCGTAATACAAAATTTGTTGGAAATTTAGCTCGTTTAAAGTTTATTAATACGCGTATAAAAATCATGCGTATCAATTGATTTTTTGTATAATTATTTATTTCTTATTATGAATTTCATAAAGAAAAAGAAAAAAGAAACAAGACAAAATGTCATTTTAGTAATTTTTGTTTATCGTGAAATTGCCTTGTTACGAATCAAATAAATATGCAATGGAAATGAATAAATTAATAAGACAACAAATTACAAGGAGAATGAGGAAGAGGAAGAGGAAGAGGAAGAGGAAAAGGAGGAGAAGTAAGAAAAGGAGGATGTTGTAAAAGTAAATGATATGTCTCGAACGATTAATTTCGTTGTCCTTCGAATTTAATAATAATTATAATTATAAATATAAATATAAATGAATAAAATGCATTTTTATATGCATGTATAGACAGACTGCAACGCAATGCTTTAGAGTCAATGGACAGGAGGTAAATAAATATTATTATTTATCCTGTTTATAATAAGCGCGATTGATATATATATATATATATCCAAATAGAATCAACTGAGTAATATTTAAGAGAATGGCAAATCTTTAAGTAAATATGTATTTTTACACGTGAAAAAGCTTTAGAGATCTTCTGTATCCATGACTGTAGCATCTGTATTAGCGCTAGGTAAGTTTTTTAGATTTTTTGCAGCAATATTATGTGATAATACATCTCGTCAAGAAGACAATACAATATTAAGACGTGCACTGGCACTAACATACTCATATTTTTTATATATTACGTATATAAGATATAGTTTCTCAGGATATATAAAAAGTGTACTGATTTTTACACTTTAGTTATTATACATTCTTCTAATGTGATGTCATAATATTCTTGCTTTTTTCTTTTTTTCTCCTTTTCTTTTCTTACAACAAAAAATTACTTCGTCTGAACTGAAACAGCGTTTTATTGGTATTTTATTGACACGAAAGTATTTTATTATATTTTTCTTGAAAACGATGTCGTTCATGTGCATGAACGCGATGTTATAAATTATATACATATACATAAAGAAAGTTTACGCTGATAAAAAAAAAAAAGAAAAAAGCTGTAACATATTTGTATCTAGTAAATTTGTAGGAGCCACATCTCTATCGTATAATAAGTAATGTAACATTTTTTTATAATGTGGGGTACGAAATTTTTTATAAATGTCATCATAAAATACTTTATCCTCCTATTTTATGTGTATCATAGTAGTTAAAAAGAAAAGTATGTAAATAATGTTATTTATTATTGTGTACGTATAATTGCACATATAATTTTATGAAAACAAACGAAACGCGGTTAAAATTTTTTCAAAATTCCTTCAAATTTATAGACAACGTTACATGTGGAAACGCATATGACTGTTATTTGTTAAATAAATTGAAAGATTAAATTCAAATTATATATTAAATTAAAATTATCAGTTGGACGATGAAAAATGAATGTAAATTTTTGAAAATTTAATTGCTTATTATTAATCTTTACAAGATTTTAATCCATAAGAATGTAACAAATTAATACAATGTGTTGAGTTGACACCTTTTCGCAATATTTTGTAATGGCCAGCTTGCGATAAATCTATTACTGTAGAGCCTTTTCTTTTTGATAAATTGAGTCCTTTATTATAATCCGCTTGGTGGTAAAATATTCCTCCTAATTTTGGCCATAACTCGGTAAATTCTTCTGGATGCACGCTACTTAATTTATTGCTTTCATTAGCACTGGTAAGCGCCAATGGTCCAATTATTTTAGCAACAGATCTGACAAATTTATAATCAGGTACTCTGATACCAACGTTATTGATTTCAGGATTTAGAGATGGATTCAATGCTTCTGTTCGTTTCAATACAATGGTATATGGTCCTGGCAATAAATTTTCTAACAATCTGGGTGGTAATTCATCTACAATTCCCCATTTATGAATTTCATTAACATTATCAATACAAATAGCCAATGGCTTATGTTCATCTCTTTTTTTAATTTCATATAACTTCTTTATAGCTGTATCATTTTCTATGCTACCAGCAAATCCATAAATTGTATCAGTTGGAATAGCAATAATTTCTCCTTTCTTTAACAATTCTACTGCTGTTGCAACACTTCTATTACCTCCAACGTACCAATGTTTCTCTTCCGGATCCAACATTTCTAATTGTTTCACAGCTGCATTTAAAAATACTTTCATAGGACCCATATGTTTTGGATTCATAATTGTTCTCCTCTGACTCATGTTCAAATACAACTATCACAAATCAAAGGGAAATCCCAATCAATCTGATGATACGAATAAAAAATAAAATTATAGAATACCTTTACTCGCGCCACTTGTGACAACATTTTGGATTACAACAACGATAGAAGGTTGTCATAGGCTCATCAGCTGATCTCGTTTGGATTTGCATGAAAAATGCACGTGGATGTGAACACTTTGGACAACGTTCATCTGTAGAGTCAACGTTTTTCCATGCTGCACTTCCTCCTATTACGTCGTCCACTTGTTTCAATTTTGGATAAGTGCGATAACTAACTTTACGATTTATGTTGAAAACATAAGGACATGTTTTACATGAAAATCTCAATGAAGTATGCTCTTCAATGTAAAGTACATTACCGCATGAGGAACAAAAAAGAAGCATAGCTACTTAAGCCTTTAATGTGTATTCTTGAAATACATGTATTTCTGAAATGAAAAGAATAATAATAAATAAGATTCATTAATAAAGCAATTATATATTAATGTTTCATCAGAAAGTAAAATTAAATTCTAACCTTACATATAGAAATCTTACACACGTTAACGTGCAAGGTAATTTTGTAAAAACACTTATATTAGATGAAAATAATTATTCAATACTTAACAAGTAATTACAAAAAGAAATGTTTATTTGTTTGTACTTATTTTAAAATAAATACAAAAAATGCCGGAGATATCATAATAAACTTGTAACTAGTTTACTGACTTCTAAGCGCTGCCGACAGTGATCCCAGAGACTTTAGTTCGTTTGATGGACACAGGGGCGCAAAATTATCGTACGCGGCAGAAAATTATCGTACGCCCCGGGAAAATTTGAAATCCGACAAATCTCGGACAGAATTTTGAAAAAGTCGAAAAAAATGTCCAAGTTCCAAGTTTTTCAAGTTGATGACCTTTTTTTTTTTTACCCATCAAGTTCCCAAACCCTATCATGAAAACGATAAAAACGATCGTTCGCCGGGAGATCGCGGTGGTAGTGATGGTGGGAGTGATGGTGGGAGTGGTAGGAGGAGTGGTGGGAGTGGTGGTGGGAGTGAGGGTTGGGGTGGGGGTGCACCTTTGGAAAATTTGTCATCAAGTTTTCGAAATTCCAAATGGATCGTACGCCACGATTTTGGATCGTACGGGACCTGAAATTATCGTACGAATGGGATCGCTGGCTGCCGAATAAATGCAGCAGGAAAAAAATTATCCCAGGAAATGCATAACTACTCCCTCTACCGCTCTCTCTCTGTTCACTAGTGTCGGTCGAACGATTGTTGCGCCATATAATTTCCTGTAAATACAGTGATCTCATTCGTACGATAATTATCGTACGCGTCACATAATTTGAAGCCTTGTACGATCCAAAATTCAGCTTGTACGATAATTTTCGATTTTACGGTAATTATCACTGTCCAATTTGGAATTTCGAAAACTTGATGACCTTTTTTTTTTGTTACTCATCAAATTTTGCCAACGGGGTAAGTAAGAACGGTAAAGGGGTTCAACTTGTGATTTTGATTCGATATCTCGAGAAGCTTGAAAAAGAAAGAACCACCACTGTACGATCTCTGTACGATCTCTGTACGATYTGGTCTTTCTCCCTGCCGTACGCCGTATTTACGATAGCTTTTGATTTACGATTCTTTTTTGAACTTGAAGACTAAAAAAGGTCATCAACTTTGAAAAAGTTGGAACTTGGACAATTTTTCCAGATTTTGAAAATCTAATCCGAAAAATTCAACAAATTCAAAATTTTTCCTGTGCGTACGATAATTTTCCGGTGTGTACGATAATTTTACGCCCCTGTGTCGATCAGACGAACTAAAATCTCTGGGATCACTGTGTAAACATAACCAACATACTTGTTGCAAGTTTTTGGATTCAAATGCACGTGTATTACACAAACGTAGTGTGTGTTACGTTATCATTAAATTAGTTGAGAATAATAAATGAATTGTATGCAATATTAAAAAAAATGGGCTTAACGAAGAATCAAGAAACTCATAGACCGGGGGTTTTTAAGCAAACTAATAAAGCACATAAAACAGGAAGACACCGAAGTAAAGGAGTCATCAATAATGAGGTTAAAGGTATGATTAAGGTGAGGTAAAATAATATTTATTTGAAAATATAATTGAACATTTTATTATTTGTACGCAGGCAAGCAAAGCGTAAAAGTAATATCCAAACAAATTCATAAGAATTTAAACAAAGATGATAGAAGACATCAGTCTTTGCAATTAAGAAAGAAAAAAATGGAAGAAATTTTAGAACAGAAGCGAAATCTTGGTAGAGGATCCAACTCTGCACCTGTTCTCATATGCATAATACCATTGCAAGAAGATTTGGATTTAGAAAATATTGTTCACAAATTGAAAAATGCAGATGATACTATAAACTCTTATATAAGTCCCTGTGGTATTGTTCATATAAAGTAATTTATTATATGTTTAATATATATTATAGATGGTTCTAAAAGTTTTTTGTTATATATATCTATGATTAAATAATGGTAATATAATTATTATTTATATTTTATAGCATACCTAGAATGAAACAACGTTTCTCAATAATCGTTCCTCCTATTGGTAACGTTTTCGGAACGCTGGATGCAGCTAAGGTCGCAAATACTGTGCTATTTGTTACTTCTGCTACTAATACGGTAGATGGGACCGTAAGAGAAGAAATTATAGATGATTGGGGCAATGAAATATTAAAATCTTGTTTATTACAAGGTTTGCCTACTTCTATCGTTGCTGCTACCAATGTAGACAAACTCCCTTTCAAGGTACATATACAAATAGTTTCTCTATAAGCTATTCTTATATCATTTTTATGACTATTTAATATATTAGAATTATCTAATGTATTTTATTTTATATCATAGAAACGTCAAGATTATAAACAACGTGTAGCACAGAGTATTTCAAAGTGTCTACCAGAAGAAAAAGTATTCTTCTTGGATACCCCTACTGATTCATTAAATGTTTTACGGCGGGTATCTACACAAAAACAAAGAACCGTAACTTACAGAACAAAAAGACCATACTTATTAGCTGATGAATTAAAATATGTTTCTACTGAGGTACATATAGAAAATGTATTCTCTAATGTGATTGTATAATCAAGTATTAATCAATAGTGTTTGATAAAAAGTTTTTTTTTTTATTTCAGAATTCGGATAATCAAGGAACTCTACTAGTCACAGGTTATTTACAAGGTTCACCAATATCTGTGAATGGTTTAATACATATCCCTGGTTTTAATGATTTTCAAATGTTACAAATTGATCTCATTGATAATCCATATGTGATCGAGAAGAATAAACCGCGGAAACAATCTGGATCCGATGAAATTGATATGAAGAATAATGAATTTTTAATTTCTCAAACACTAGGTCATGCAGATCCCGAAAAACAGGTGAGTTGCTGTTTGATACATGCATTTTCGTTTAAATTTTATTAAAACGTAGAGGATTTATATATATAATTGTGTTTAGGAATCTCTTGAAAGTGAAAATATACCAGATTTAATGGATGCAGAACAAACTTGGCCAACCGAGGAAGAATTAGCTCAGGCTGAGGCTGCTCGGAAAAAAAAGATTGTTAAAGTGGTACCGAAAGGAACCTCTGCGTACCAAGCAGCTTGGATTCCTGATGAGGATGCTGGTGTGTACATGTTATATAATTTAACAATAATATATATTGTCTGACGTGATATTTCTAATTTATTTATAAATTATTACTTTATTGTAGAAGATTTGAGCGAATACTCTGAGAACGAATCCGAAGATAAAATGTCCGTGGACGGTGCAAATTCTCATGCAGATAGCGAAGCTGACATGGCATCCGACGATGAAGAATATGAAACTATAACGATATCGGAGGCAGCACCTGATGAATGTAAATACGATCAGGATATCGACATGGCAGAAGAAAAGGAAGCTATGGAGAAAATAAATCGTAAGTTTGAAATGCGTATATAAATATTTAAATTACTAATTGTACAATATTATAATATTTTATAACATTTTCATATAAACAGGAGCAAAGTTGGACGCCCAATTTCCCGACGAAGTAGACACACCTCAGAATATGTTGGCTAAAGTTAGATTCCAAAAGTATCGTGGACTTGAATCATTTCGTACAAGTCCTTGGGATCCCAAGGAAAATTTACCACAGGAATATGCACGAATATTTCAATTTGAAAATTTTGATCGAACGCGTAAACGAATATTTAAAGAGAGTCAGGATATGGATACAGCTTTGGTAAGTAGAACAAATAGATAAACTCTTTTATAATTATTTTTGTGTATTAAATAAAATAAAAATAATAATAATAATATTATTATATACAGCCTGGTTGGTACATTAGACTTCATGTTGCCAATGTTCCTAGGGATATTTTTACTGAACTTAATATATTAGACAAACGACCAATAATCGTCTTTGGATTACTTCCAAATGAACAAAAAATGTCTCTTATAAATATTGTATTAAAACACGCTAATATCTATCAACAAGCTATAAAGTCTAAGGAAAGATTAGTGTTCCAATGCGGGTTCCGAAGATTTTCGGCTTGTCCAATATTCAGCCAACATACAAACGGATCTAAACACAAGGTACATTATTAAATAAAATTATATTTAAAGCCAGTAACCATAATAATTCATAGATATTAAATAATTTATTAAATCCTATTCTAGTATGAGAGATTTTTCCGTCCAGAAATGGTTGTAGTCGCGAGCATGTATGCACCAATTATCTTCCCGCCGTGCCCAGTTTTATGCTACATTGAACAAAAAAATGGTAGTTTAGTAAGTAAAAATATTTTTGTAATAATAACTAAATTTGACTCATACATTTATAGTGTAATTGTCACTTAATACACTATACATGGTATTTAACATATTAACGGAAACATTATTCTCTCTTTTTTTTAAGGATTTAGTTGCTAGTGGAAGTGTTCTATCTGCCAATCCAGACAGAATTGTCGTAAAAAGGGTGGTTCTCAGCGGGCATCCCTTTAAAGTACACAAACATTCTGCTATAGTGAGATTTATGTTTTTCAATCGAGAAGATATCAATTGGTTTAAACCCGTGCAACTTAGGACAAAATACGGACGCAGAGGACACATTAAAGAGCCATTAGGTATAATACAAATCTCAATTATTATAGCTGTACAATTTAAGGAAGATACAGAAGTGAACTAAATTAATTAAAATCTTTTAATGGGGATATTTACAGGTACGCACGGTCATATGAAATGTTTCTTTAACGGACAATTGAAATCTCAGGACACCGTATTGATGAATCTTTATAAACGGGTATTTCCCAAATGGACTTATGAACCATTATTTCTGACTCAACTATCAAATAAAGATGATAGTATGATGATAGATTAATAATGAAAATCTAATTTAAATGTAAATAATTATAACTTAAATTTATGTTGATTTAATAACTAAATAGCTTAAAGTAATGTGATTTATTTCGATTTTATTGAAAAATATTAACTCATTTATTATATAATATTAGTTAAACAGATGTGTTGGTTCTTCTTCTTTTACGAGTCCTAACAGGTTGTAGGCTTCGTATACGAAGATAACTCAACCGACGTTCTCTCTCATGTTCCTCCATGGTAATTTTGTTTAATAGAAGAGGGCCAGATATCATCATAATAATCGCACCTAGTGGTGCTAAAAATATTATAGCTACGATTGAAATTCTAACTACGTCGAGAGCTAGTTCGATGTGTTCTGGATCTTCTTCTGTTGTTCGTTGATAAGCCATTGGTGCCAATGCTGCCTACAAAATTTGTAATGAATTTTTTCAATTATTTTTTCCTAATTTTTAGAATATAACAGTAATTATAACATTAAATTAAATGAAACAATTTGAAAAAATTGATTTTTTTGTATTATCGACAATTAATATTCAAAAATAAATCATTAAATAAATGTTTACAATTATAATAGCAATTATTTTTAAGACCATTAAGAATAGATTAAATAAATATCAACCTGAAGAGTACCCTTAGGTATCCAAGCAAGAGCGATAAAAAGTTTTTCCTTCCAAGAAAAGTGAGTCTTGATCGTTGATAAAATAGCGGTGATGCAACGTGTCTAAATAAAGTAATTTTCCAAGATTAATGAATGATTACGTCGTAATTAATTATATCTACAAAGAAAAGCTTACTATTAGACCGATGAGTATACAAGTACAATAAAGACCAAATCTTGATAAAGACCAATCCTTAATATCAATATCGGCTCCGATAACACCGACCAAAACAGGCTGCATAAAGTGCCAAAGGAAATATGTTGCTTTTCTAAGCGGTGTTGTCTGTTGCATGTAATGTTTTTTTTTGTTTCCTTCTATTTAAATTTCTTTTTGCCTCATTTTTTTTTTACATTAATAAATGTACGATAAAAAAAGCTTACGTTATAAGATACTGTTAGTATTCTCCATCCCGTGATAGCAACAAATGACATTATTATAATAGCAATGTACGGTCCACCAGAAACTGGAAGTTTCGATGTCGATGCGGTACACATTAAAGCAGCTATTACCAAGTTTGATAATCTGTACCATGTTGCATATTTCTAAATTTTTTACATATAAAATGTTACATTAAAATCAATTCGATTTTGTTATTAAACAAAATTACGTATCATTTTTTTTAACATTGATCTAAATATAACAATTATTTAATAAAACAATTCGAATCTAAGTATTATATTTTAGAAATAATAAAAATCATTGTACGTGATTACGATGAGGGAAGAAAGCCAAGAAAGTACCAAGAAGGAGTCCTGTTAAAACACCTAGGATAATATCTCGAAGACCATTTGGTATATACGACCACCATTTTGTTAGACGTTTTTCTGTAACAAATTATTCTCTTTTATTTTACGAACTAATATATTAGTTAAATTATTAGAAAATTATCAGATGAATTTGCGCTGTATATAATACACAAACAAAGAAAACAGAACTTTTTGTAAGTTGAGTAAGTAATATTATAATGTATTCGTTTACCACCAAAAACGGAGGCATAGAAAACAGAAAAAAGTGAGAGAATGTGTACATCATCGATGGAACTAGCTGCACTTATTAAAGAAGCCATTCCTTTATCTTCACCAAAGCCACGTTCAGCAAGTGCTAGCATACAATTGACAGTGACAACAGGTGACATACAGGCAACAATTGCACTAGATAATCAAAATAATAATTTTTTTATTTTAATATCATTTCTCGATTATTTTTTATAGCATTTTATTAACAGGTTTGAGAAATCGGCACAAAAAAAATTGCGCGTTTTAATTACCCAGTCATAAAAGCCCAATTCCAAGGATAATCAAGGATATATTTGGCACAAATAGCGAGAACGAGCATCTCGATGGTACAGGGTAGGATTGCAAGGACCATTACGAAAAGGGGGTGTCGACGAATCGGCGTGGTGGTCAATTGAAGACCAGCACGAATCATGATAAAGGTCAAACAAAAAGTTCGTATTTTCGCGATCGTCCTGACGCCAAATTCCTGTCTAATGTTGTAGAAATTGGTGTTTCTCACGATTATACCGGCTAGTAGCATACCAAAAACGGGTGGAAGGTTGGCATAAGGAATATAAGCAAGGGTCCATCCAAGTAAGTAAGAAAAAACAACAATAACGAAGAGACCGAAGTATTTGCCTTTAGGTAACATTGTTTCACCGAGAAGGAAGAATAAAGTAATCCAAGTCATCAATATCATCGCTGTAATGCTTGTCAACCAGAACAAATTAGCCCAAGTTATTTCCAATGTGTCAAAACATTTTGAAATAGAATCGGTTACAACGATTTCGCGCAAAATTGGATTGCAAAATGTCGCTCGAGAACAACACGTATTGTCGTCTTCATCTCCTTCTTCTTCTTCTTCTTCTTCTTCTTCTTCTTCTTCTTCTTCTTCTTCTTCCTCGTATTCGTTTTCCTGGTTATGGTCCTCCTCGGATTCTAATGAACGTACATTTTTATTGCGTACTTCTTTTAAATTCATCTTTACGAATCAGAGCTACATCACCTGTTTGATATTTTGATATTTTAACGATTTGTTGTTCATCGATATATGAGGATTTGGAAAAGAAATAGGAAGCTTTTGATAAATAATTGAATAATATTTTACAACGGTTACGTATTTTTCATCGAAAGGGAATGTAAGATTGTACTTAGAATAGAATTCTTATTTCAAGCTAATCGATTCCCAGTTTTAAAATTAGTTTCTTTTTAATAAGAGGGATGAAAGGGATGAACTCCTTATAGAGTTTGTATAGTAATTTCAATGAAAGGATAGGCAAACACACGAACACACACCTACATACACAAAAGTTTATCGTGTCGCTTCTCGATAGATACAATATATTTGATTACTTATTTACTGTCAGTTTAAATTTCGACCTCTGCCATTTATTTAATCGTAAGAAGAAAAACGGAAGAATTCAAAATTCGATATAAAAATATCAAATGTCGATAAAAAATTACACTTTTGATAAAATCGATATGTATAATTGAACGTGTAATTAAAACAGTTCTCTAATTTATCGACCGTACCGATATTTATCGATGAGATTGTTATCACGGTAGCTCTTAATGATTATTATTTTAATTAAAAAAAAAAATTACTTTCTTTTTTTTTATCGTCAATTATATCTTTTTGATCAACATTCTCGTTTGCTTTTGATGCGTACACATATATATATATATGTATTTGTTCGTAAGAGAATAATTTTTTAAAATAATTATTTTAAAAGTAATATAAATTAAAGAAAAAGAAAAAAAAAGAAATGTAGAGAGACTAGAGGTTGGAGATGGGGGTGAGAGAGGAGGCTATCATTCATCATGGCAATCCATTCGGTTGGCGTAAACTTGTTTATTTTTTTCTTTTTTTTTCTTTTTTTTTTCTTTCTTCGTAGACGTCTGTAGATTGCTATTAGCACTCACCCCCTAAGGATTCTAAGAGAGACTTTTGCGCCCTCTTGCGGATCATTTACCCCAGCCAACATCCCCCACCGAGCGGGGTTAGGTTCGCGCGAGTGAGGAATATTCAGTTTGCGAACGGTGCTCGTCACGATCGTGCTGAATTTCTTTATTTCGAGTGCAACAAATAAAATTTTTGTTCTTTTTCTCTCAAAAATCCATGTTTTACGTAAAAACGGGCGAGCACACACACGTACGCACACACGCATAGTTTTTTTTGGTCATTTTTACGTTCTTTTTATTATCATTTTTATTTTTTTTTCTTTCTCCCTCGTTCCAAGTAATACGACGACTGATGTGAAACATTTAATATCTTTTTCTTCTACTACCCCTTTTTCTCTCTCTCTTTTTTTTTTAATTTTCTCAGACGCTCTCGATTATCCTTGGATATGTTCTGCTCCTGTTTTTTAACGTGGACGAGGTCAGTAAGCTTCTTCTTTTGTAATGCATCTTTCATATAATCATTTTCTTTATGATTGTTTTTTTTTTTCATTTAAATGTCTTTTATGCAGGTGTGGCATTTAATTTTCTTTTTATATGTATTTCTTTTCTTATTTTTTATGCAATAATTTCTTTTTTTTTATCGTTCCTTTGTATTTAAACGTTTTTTAATTTCTTTTTTCTTTTCTCTATTGTGCAACTACCCGCGTTATGCAGGTGGTATTTTTTGACAAATAAACGCACGCTTCTTTTTATATATTTGTCTTCTTCTTTTTTGTTTTTATTTCTCCTGTTGCACCTACCTGTATTATACTGATGATCTTTTTTTTATTATTATAGTGTGTTCGACATTAATCCGTTCACCTTTTATGGTTTCGATTATTGATCCTTAGAACTCTGAGGAGAACTTGGAAAAGCAATCTAGTATTTGGTTGGTATTTTTTTATCTTTTTTTTTTCATTTACAACATGTCCTCTCATATTTTTGAGGTTAAATGATTCTATTTTTATTCTAGGAATATGCGTATACATATTTTAATTATTTTTATCATTGATAATATTTTTATATATACATGTATGTATGTATATATTTTAATGTTCCAATGAATGTTATACATTTCTTGCAAGTTATTTAATAATTACCATGCATTCTCCTTTTTTATATTTAAATAATGTTTACCCTAATTGTATACATGTATATAATTATATTGGACTAATATAATGAAATATTCTCTTATAATTATTTCTTCGACAGAGTTAAGAAATTATTTGCTATATAAAGTTTAAATCATTTGTTATATTTAATTTTAGTTAATAATCGACGCGTTTAACTATATGAAAAATATGAATTCGTTAATTTCAAATATTCTTTAAAAAATAGTACACGCGCGCGTGATATTTTTTATATATATGAGCTAAATTATTTTCATTTTTATCATTGTTCGTTCTAGAAATTGATATATAAAAATATTTAAAAATCTTCGTTATTTAAATATATAAAAAAATATCACGTTTTAACATTACAATCAAAAGCAAAAAATTTAAAGTTATTCATTTAAAATGAAAAATAACGAGCACAGATATTTAAAAAAAGTCTTAAATTAAATCGCGTAAGAATACTTAAAAAAAAAAACAACAAACAAAAAGAAATCGACAAAGTTAAAAGAAAATTCGTCTAAAGAAGAAAAAAAGCTCTAGCGAGATTTTAAACAAAAAGAAACAAAAAAAAGGAAAGAAAAGAAATGCAAATAAGTTAGGGGTAGGAGATGGGGAAGGGTTACGATCGGAAAGACATTATTTTTTCTTACTTTGATAAAATTGAGGAAGAGCATCAGTCATTTTCTTGATTATCAATAAAATGCAATTGACAAAAATAAAAAGGGTCTTTGAACTTTAACATACGATTTGGGCAATCGAGACGCGACGGTTATTGAATTAGTCTCTCTCACAAGTCCAGAATCATTAGTAGTAAAATAGCACCATTCGAAAATGAATATCTATTTTGGTTGTTGAAACGAAGTACTTTGGCTTAGCGATAGGAGGGAAGGGGGATGGTTGGACGTCAAGTGGATTTAAGGTTATTGAACTTGTTCATTGATCCCTCTTGAAGCAGCAGTAGCAGTAGCAGCACATCCACCAACCAACCAACCGGTGGTGCATATCCACCAACCAACCAACCGGTGGTGCATATCCACCAACCAACCCAACCGGTGGTGATGCAACCAACCACCGGTAGGCAGGCAGGCAGGTAGGCAGGTGGGGAATCCTTTAATTCGCGTGCTGCTTCTTCTATTTTTTTTCCAACTGAGAGATCCTTGTCTTTTAACATTTTCCGATTTTTTTTCTCTTCTTTTTTTTCCTTTTTTTTATTACACTTTACCAAGAAGAGATCCTCGATATGATTCCGCTAATGGGTGAAAAAGATAAAAGCTGATAATGATTTAGAGATGTTTATATTCGATTTAAAAAAAAAAAAGGAAGAAGAGAAAAAAATAGCAAACGTACTAACAAACACACAACGTACTACAAACGTTCTAATCACATTTTTTTTCTAGCGATTTGTGAAATTATTTATTCACTGAGGATATATATCTTTTCTTTTTTTTCATGTTTTAATCGGATTTTCCCTTTTGCTCTGTCAGAAGTTATAATATTTTTTTTTAAAGAGGGAAGGGATTTGAAATTATTTATGATTTTACAATTTTTGTCTGTCACTTTATCATGGGGTCGGAGGAAAAAGAAAAAGGAAAGAGAAGAGTATGGGGGAATATATATGTGAAGGATATAGGTTAAAAATCAAAGGAAATATACTTTAGTAAATATTCAGAATAAATAAATGTTCTATAGTTTGAACTATCGGGTTCCTTCGATATATTTTCGAATGTTTCGGTTACCAGCGAACTTTTTACAATTCATAGAACTTTGTGAATCCCGAGACTTTATTTTTTGCACGAATGTAAAAAGCAAACGCTTCCTTTGAGAATGAATACGATTCTAACAGTGGACTCATTATTCGCCGAAGCTTCGATGTGAATTCAATATGTATATAAATTTAAAGCGTACTCATGAAAAGCGTTTTTTTTAAACTAAGTTTTTTCTTTCTTTTTTACTTTTACCGAACTTTTCGACAAAGTTCTTTCGAAAAATATACTTTTTGTTTTTTTTCTCGCATAAAGAAATATTTGGTAAGATAAACTTTAAATTTTGTGTAATACAAAAAGAAATCTAAAATATATTATATATTCTATATATATATATATGTAGAAAAAGAAATCATAAAATTACTTTAAATGTTAATAACACAGAGACATACTAACCATAAGTTTAAAAGCATGAACATAAAAACATCAGGAAAGTTTTCGTCAAGTAAAGGGCTTTCGTCGAAAGTTGAAACTATGTCGATGTAGGTCGAAACTAAGTAGGAAGAAACGTTCGTTCATCATGGAAAAGCTCATCCAATTTATCTCCAATAAAGGGATACCGTTAAAACGGTCCATTATGGAACGAACACTATCGTGAACTATATTATGGTACTTTAAAGTTGTTATAAAAGGGTGTCGTATCTTATTCTTACGACATATTCGACGTTTAAAAATTGTCAAGGGTTGTTTAATCCCTTATACAGATTATTCGATATTGTCAAATTGAAAAAAAAGAAAAACTAAACAAAATAATTGATACGTCCGACATTATTTTCAACGTTCGTCGTTAAATTTGATCTATATAATTATTTTTTGTTATTTTAAACAACAAAAGATAGTCGACGAATAATATTTAATCGACCAAAATAATTATAGAAAGATATTTCGTAGATTATTATTAGGTATTGACCTAATCGTATCGTATTTGACAAAATAAAGTGAAATAATATTCGATTTCATTTTGAATCCACCATATTGACAAAAGAAAATCTTTAAGAAAGGATAATTTTGATTGAACAAACGCGCGGGGTCTATTTTCTTTTTTCTACAAATACGGTTACTTGTTTTGATGTAAAGAACATTTTTATATTCGAAATTATTTTTACAAAACCAATGAATGAAAAAGCGAGGATCACTTTTTTTTACGAATTACGAATTTTCGTTTCGTTTTGTATTTCGATTGAGAGATATGATTACGCGGCCAATTTATTTTACAGGTTGCATACGGACAAATCGTCGCAATGCGTATACACCGGGGCTCGACTCGATCAGCGGTTGCGCTTGCGGCGAGACGACTGTCAAATAATGACACCGAGCAAACATTGCAGCACTAAACTACTTTATGCGTTAACTAGGCCCCCTCCGTTAATTATAAAATATCCGACGTCGAGACACCTGCTGTGTTTCTCTCTCTCTCTCTCCCTCTTTCTCTCTCTCGCTTCATTATATCTTCGTGCAATTATAATTTTTAGCCTCTTTCTTTTAATCCTATTTTGGTCACTCATTCGAAAAATCGGAGTTTAACGAAAAAAAATGTCACGCTTATGCTATCACCGTTTTTTAATTCCTTTTTTACTTTTTTTTTTTCAATAGGACACCCAACTTCGTTTTAGTTAGAGTTCACAAGTTTAAACTCAAATTCGCGTAAACATTTAACCTCCCCTCTCCTTCCTTTTTTTTTGTTTTTCTTTTTCTTTCAACGATAAATTTTTTGATCTCCCATCCTATTAGTTTTATAAACAACACGTTGGTTGGGTATATAAATAAGAAATTATGTATATACAATCATATAATAATTGTGTTATGACAAAGTTAAGTTAATATAGGTTAATCAATAATAAAAGTGAAAAAGTTTATATAGTATAGAAAGAGGTAAAGGAATTTTTTGAAACCGATTGCTGGATACTAGGTGTTCCATTTTTCAACTATGCTTTCGAATAAATTCTCTTTGGTTTCTATATATAAAAAAAAAGCAATAACGAAATAGTTGCGAAGTCGGAACTTTTTCCACGGCGTCCAATCCAGTTTTACCCTTTCCCCTCTCCCCTACCCTCTTTCCTTGTCCAATATAAGTAGGTCGCGAATTTCTAGTTCGACATGAAAACGAAATTCGATTTCACGTACATAGATAGCACGTTTATTGGGCTATGTTCGATGTTATCGAGTTTTTCTGAAATACATATACATATATATATAACAAAAGAAAAAAGGAAAGAAATAAAAAAATAATTAAAAAAATACAAACAAAAAAGAAAATAAAAGAAATTAATAAATTGCATTCGTATTGTATTCGTGTATCATATAAGGCGCAAAATTCATGGTTACCCCATTGATTCATTCATTTCGAATTGGATTAGATCGAAGGCTTGACAATATATATATATATGTATATATACTTCAAGCTGTCTGATACATATTACAGAAAGTACTCGTAACAGTGTCGCTGCTAATTACCCGTCAGCAAGTGCATTAATTACTGATTCATGGGGGAGGGGGAGGGGAGAAAAGGGAGGGGGAGGGGAGAAAAGGGAGGAGGAGGGTTCGTAGTCTGAGTGGAAAGG